GGGGGGGGGGGGAAAGAGGGCGCCAGAATGTGGTGCCCCTGGCCGCCGGGTGGCGAGGACGCCCTCGGTCATCCTCCTGCGAGCGCCAGAGATGCCTGACAGCAGGAGGACGGCAAATGGGGGGAGGAGGAACTGAAATGACTATGGGGGGGGGACTGTCGGGAGGATGCACGCAGCGCAAAACACGCAGGTGTGTGGCAAGGAGACCGCCGCCGCGGCAGGAGGCAGAAGGAAAGGCCGGCATGTAAGAGGGTAGGCCCAGGCCACCAATCAAAGATGCAGCGGGCCAATGAATCACGCACACACCGGTCGGGTTTACTCCTCCTCCTTCATGGCCAGGGCGATCATGCGGCGACGGTTGTAGCTAAGGGAAGGGGTGTTCGTGGAAAGGGGCGGCAGAAGGGTCGGCGCGATGGGCAGAGACGGAGGCAGGCAGGGAGGAAGGAGGTCAGGAGACACAGTGAGGTGGACGATGGCGGTGCATGGGAAAGGGCGCCACAATGGGCGGGAGACGCACTCGTCCAGCTGGCACCCCTCGTACTGGTTGCGCTCCTCGGTGCACTTCCAGGGCAGGTAGGAGACGGTCCGGCGGCAGCGGATCAGGTTGACCAGGAGGTCGGAGCAGTGGTCGCGCATGGCCTGGGGGACCTGGGCGGCGTCGAGCTCGACGGCAGTGATATTCGGGACTGCACAATCGCAGAAGGGCGACAGGGGAGTCAAGTGCAAGCGAGTCAGCAAACGAAGGCGGAGCCATGCATCCACAGCATGACGGATGCCCTCGCACAACCGGGCAAACAGGAGAGAGGGCGAGAGAGAGAGAGAGAGAGAGAGAGAGAGGGAAGAGGTGGAGGACAAAGGGGGCGCAGGGGGGGGGGGTAGACAAGGATGACATACCACGGGGCTCGGGAATCATGGCGTTTGCGTAGAAAAGGGGAAACCGAGTGGCGCGAGCGGGAAGCCACAGACGGGAAGTCGGGGGAGCGGCAGGCAGAGGCGAGAGGAGAGAGGGGGGGAGGGGGAGGAGGGCTTCGCTGGAGGGTGTCCCCGGAGAGGGCCGGAAACTGGGCGGCAAAATACCCATGCACCCTGGGGCCCCGTCTGTCCGGCCCTGCCCCCACGGCAGTACCCCAACTCCGTTGCCACCACCCTGACCACCACAACCGCCCCCCCCCCCTCTCCCCGCTACACGACTGACCTCCCCTCCGGAAGGAGAGGCACAGGGCTGGGTCCGGTATGCGTGGTCCAGAGCCACCCGGAGCCGCCTCCTGTGCCGCCCTTGGCGCGGCTTTCCGCCCGGACTCGGCCGGCGACACAACACCCGTCGCTTCACCCGCGGGCGGCCCAAGGTCCGGGAGCAGGCCGACAGTAATGTCAAGGCTTCGGGCGGCCTTTTGCTCGTCGAGAGAGCATGCCGAGCGCAAGGCGGAATATCTGGGACATAATAATGCCTGAGCATATGTCTTCCCCCCCGCCCCCCTCGTCGGGGTACAAAGGTGTTGCCACGCCGAGAGCCACCCTTCCCAGTCCCGTCGCACCTCAGAGCGGGTCAAGCCTCTCTCTTTCTCTCTCTCTCTCTCTCTCCCTCCTCTGTAGGGGATGCGCGAGACCGACACCCGTTGGCGAAATTCACCGAAGCCAGGCCCTGCAATGGCATTGTCAACTGCCACCGAATGAGCCGTTGACCAAAATACGCCCTCCATGCGGTGGAGCCGAGCGAGCATTTGGCGGTCCGTCTCTGTGGCCGACGCGGGGGGGGGGGGGCGGAGATCTCGACGCGTGGCCGCCTCCGACCGGCAAGTCTACACCCCCCCCCGTCCCCCCTCACACCCCCGATCAGGCCCAGGCACCCGGAGGCCAGCGCACTGTTCTCAAGAGGGCCTGTGTCCAGGATGCGGGCACATTCCAATTCAGCGCATCTCCCCTCGCCCCTCCCTATCTCGCTCCTCCTGCCACCCCGTCCCCCAAACTTGCGCTCGCCTTTCGCCGATAGCACTTTCTCGTCCTTTCGCTCCCCCCCCCCACTCAGTTTCCCGGAAGGCACTCAGCAGCATGAGCTCCACGGTCTCCTCGCTGCCCCCCCTCGAATTCGAGGGATGCAACTACTTCCGCCAGCGCATCATCCTCTCCCTCCTGAGCGGCCGGGCCATCCGCATCATCAACATCCGCACCGACGAGGCGGACCCCGGCCTGGTGGACTATGAGGTGGCCTTCCTGAAGCTCATTGATCGGGTGACCAATGGCACCAATGCCACCATCGGCTACACCGGGTCTTCGGTCACCTTCCGCCCGGGTGCCCTGATTGGCGGCAAGCTGGAGTTCGATTGCGGTGTCAGCCGTGGGATCGGTGCGCGTCCTGTCTTCCTTTTCCTCTCTCTCGCGCACCATGCTCCCCCCTACCCCGGCCCCTCATCCTGACATTCTCCGCGTTGGTTTGCGTCCCTGCCCCCCCCTCCCGTCTCCTCTGCACAGGATACTTCCTCGAGCCGATCATCACTCTGGCTCCGTTCTGCAAGAAGCCCACCGTCATCACGCTGACTGGCATCACCAACAGCGACAATGACCTCTGCGTGGACACCATCCGCACGGTCATGCTGCCGACACTAATTCGCTTTGGCATCGAGGATGGCCTCGAGATGAAGGTGCCCCTTGCCCCCCGCCCCCTCCCCACCTGCCCCACTACCTCACGCATATGCAGCACCTAACCGCCCCCCCCCCTCCCCCCCCTCCTGTTGCCCCTCCCACTGAAGATCAACCGCCGTGGCGCCCCTCCCCTCGGTGGTGGCGAGGTCTTCTTCCGTTGCCTGCCGGTGAAGGCACTCAAGGCGGTGGACTTCTCGGACGCCGGGCGCATCAAGCGCATCCGCGGGATTGCCTACTCGGCGCGCATGTCGCCGGCCCATGCCTCGCGCTCGATCGAGGCTGCCCGGTCGCTGCTGAATAAGTTCATCCCGGATGTCTACATTTATGCGGATCATTACAGCGGCCGCAAGGCCAAGAAGACCGCCGCCACCACGGCCCTCGGTGAGATTGCCGCCGCCGAGGCCGGTCTCTCCCCGGGGTATGGCATCTCCCTGGTGGCTGAGTCCACCACCGGGGCTCTGCTGTCGGCCGAGAGCTGCGGCGCGGCCGGCGAGCCGCCCGAGGAGCTCGGTCTCCGCGTTGCCCGGCTTCTCTACTCGGCCATCGACAAGGGTGGCATCTGCGATGCGCTCTTCCAGAATCTGCATCTCCTGCTGGTGACTCTCAGCCCGGAGGATGTGTCGCGTCTGCGCTTCGGCAAGCTGACCCCTTACACGTGCGTCGTATACGCAGCCCATATATACATATTATACTCCATGCCCCCCCCCCTCCCCCCCCCCCCGCCCCCCATCGATCGCATATCAGCTCCCATGCCGTGGCGTGCCTCACTGACCGTGCCCATGCCCAATGCCCTGCAGTATCCAGTACCTCCAGGACCTGAAGGAGTTCTTCGGGATTGTCTTCAAGTTGAAGGCTGACAATGAGTCCCGCACAGTCCTCCTTTCGGCCATGGGTATCGGCTTTACCAACGTCCACCGCAAGATCGACTAATGTCCCGTCCGAAAGGGAGACCTCCCTCCCCCTGGCACTGTCCCCCTCTTCGTCTTGCCCCCTTTCCTTGTGTCTCCTCTCCCTCCCTCTTTTCCTCGGCCCCCCCCCCTCCCCCCCCCTCCCTCCTGGCGCCCCTGTGCGCGTGTGCACCGAGAAAATGAGCCACCAGGGCGCCCTCAGATCAACCCCCAACGGAGCGGCTGCCGCCCTCCGGCCGGCGCATGTGCACTTGCCTGCCCTCGGCCGCAGCTCCCCACGCTTGCCCCCTCCGAAAATATACCACCTGTCCTTCTGCACGCTGATCACCCGACCACACACATGGGCCCCGGGGCGGGGCCTCCACCGAGAGGGGGGGGAAACGGGTGTGTGGTGTTCCGTGGCCAGTCTCGCTGAGCCGGTCTCCGCGTTCCCGGACAGATATGGTGGCCAGTCTACCGACAGTGTGCATGCTGCCGCTTGTGCGCATGGTCCTCCACCCCGCGCTCGTGGGGCATGGACGTGGTGAGACGGAGCCGAGATGGCGAGATCGCCTTTTTCTCAGCCCCTCGCGCCCGGCCAGTCTGCCACAGATCCCGGCAGACGCCCTCCCGCCCCCCCCTCCCCACACCATCCCCCCGCCGCCGCCCATTTTTGCGTCCACCCCCCCCCCCCTTCTCCCTGTCTATCGATCCTTCTACCCCTCCCTCTCTCTTTCTCTTTTCCTCTCCCCCTGCCCCCTCTCTCTTCCCTGCGCCTCGCCTGCCCCCAGTCCGCCATGTCCAAGGTCAAGAAGTCGACCAGGAAGTTTCAGCGGACACAGCTGTCCAGTGTCATCAAAAGCCGCAAGCGCTATCAGAATGCGCCATCCACCATCCGTCGCAAGAAGCGTGACGCCCGCGAAGCGCGCGAAGAGCTGAAGCGCATCAACGAGGAGGCGCGTGAGCTCCAGCGTCAGGCCGAGGAAGGCGACGAGGAGGTCGAGGAGGAGCGCGAGGACTCCTTCGACTTTGAGGAGTCCCTCAGTGGGTGCGTAGACACACATGGAAGTGCTGCACGCATCCATGATGGCTGGCCATACGTGTCTGTTTCCAGGCCCGCACGCCCTCATGCGATTCGCCATTCGGCTGCGACCCTTTTCCTTTGGTGTTGTACCCTTGGAGGCCCCTTCTAACCTCCTATGTATGCGTGTGTGCGTGTGTGCGTGCGTGTGCGTGTGCGTGTGCGTGTGCGTGTGCGTGTGCGTGTGCGTGTGCGTGTGTGTGTGTGTGTGTCTATGTGTACTCCTTGCACCCTCGCGTGGATGCGACCGCCTATCCACAACAGTTTCCACAGCAAGGC